TTATATTAAATCAAAACTAATTAATAACAAAAAACTTATTATTATTCAAAAAACGTTGTCAAAACCAATGAATATTGAATTAAATAATGATTTTTTTTCTAAACATTAATATAACTTTACTAGTTTTATTTTACAGTTGATACAATGATAATGATACAAAACTTCTGATGTAGTGGCTAACCATAAAAATAATAAGCTAAAATAAAAATTGAAAAACATTACTAAAAAACTGACCAACAAAGCAAACAGGCGTGCAAGTAGAATTGTAACAACTATTGGTGTTCACATAATCGCTGTTTGTCCAGTTGCAATAATCAATCCAGTTTACACATTCTGAAAACAATTGTAAAGTAACATATGAAATAACTAGAATACGCTAACTATAGAAGCATTATAAATAAAATATGAAATTTTTATTACTTAATATATATTGTAATACTCTTGTTTAGCAGTTTTAAAACTATTAATAAAATGTTTCCACTTAATTTATCATGTTGTGTTTTATACCTATTTTTTCAATATTTTATGATTTTATGTAAAATTTCAATTTTCGGAACATTAAATTTAATTTTTGTAATTTTCACCTGAATTTTGTAACCCTAACACTTTATGCATTACACTTTTTAAGTTAGAGAAAATTTATATAGGGTCATATTGCTATAAAGACTGATAATCTACAAAGAATTGCAAATTTAATAAAAAGTCTTTTAATATAATTTTTAAATTTAATTTTTATATTTTATTTTTAACTCTTAATAAATCTTTTTACTTTCTTTACAACCATTTTAGCATTTTTTTTTTAATTATTTTTTTAGTTTTTTCTTTACTTATTAATTAAGTATTCAATTTTAACTAAAACATTAGCTATAAAAAAATCTTCTTTTTTAGTTGGTGATCTAAATACTAATTTTTTTATTAAAAACTTTTTTTCCTAGCAGGAAAAAAAGGCATTGCGGGTCTTTTTTGATAATAAAAAGACCTGCAATAGAACTTTTTTTAAGAAAAGACCTGGCAGGTCTTTTCTTTAAAAAAGAAAAGAGCAATTTAAAAAAGCTAATAGATGGAAATAATATTTTTGAAAAAAAAAAAAAATTTTTCAGTGATTCAAAATAATATGGAAAATTTTAGAAGTAACGTAAATTTTGACGTTATTTATATAAAAATTCAACAGGAAATTATTTCATTTAATAAGAAATTATTATTATTAATAAACTATACTTTTTTAAAAACTTATATTATATTTATTTTTTATAAAAAATTTTTATAATACTTATATACTTTATAACACTTATATTTTATAACAAATTTTGTATATAAATAAACTTTAATTTTTATCTTTGCAGATAAATGAGATACTAATTTCTTTTTAAATGAAATAATTATCTGATGCATTTTGCCTGTCTCTAATTTATGATCATAATTATTTTTTTACTTTTCATTTAGTTACTTTTAACACTTAAATCAAAAGCTATTACAATGTTTGGATCATGCCTATATAAGCTGCCTCATGGTCTATTATATTACATAGCCATTAGGGTATATCATACTTTTGCATGTTATGAATTTCATTCAGTACATCACTTTTTGTATGTATTTTTATACCCTGAGTTGAATGGTATAATTTTTTTTAGTGAAAAAACAAGTCTTGCTACTGGGAAAACGTTTTTAATTTTCCAAAAATATTGTGTTTTTTTCTAATTGATGACTATTTATGCTATAAATGTACATAATAATTATTTAAAATACTGTTTAGCCCTATGCTTAATTTTGATAATATGTTTTGAGTTTTTTTAAAAGTTATTTTATGTATAAGTATCAGTTAATATACAAATATACCTTATAAATATTATAATTACTATTTAAATTTAATTTCAAATTAATTGCTGTTATTGCTGCCTTTATATCTTTCAGACTCATAATATATTAAAAAAAGAAAAATGACGTTATTAGTTAGCAAGAAAACCAGAAAATCGATTAACACCAAACTAAGTGAGTATCTTGGAGGTGCTAGAAAGTTCCTCCAAACTGAATTTCCAACCTCATGTGACTGTTTACAGCGTTGTCTGGATCTGCAGCAAGACAGAATACTAGTCTATGAAAAAAATCAGCATAATTTATCAATGCAAGAAATGTTTTCTAATTTTGCTTATGAGGTTGCAGAACGATGGCTTATTTCCAACACAGAATTTAAAAAACACATAGTTTGTGGAACAAAAGGAATAACACTAAGACTCAGTAGAAGTTGGTCTGCATTCTCTAAGATAGCTCGAAATAAATCTCAAAAATCTTACATAAAACACTGGGAGCCTAAGCTTGATAAACTTTTAGATATTGCTCTTTGCAAATGCAGAATTGTTTACTGCAGTGAGAATGATCCCCCTTGCAAAGAATCTTGTGCTCATTGCCTTTGCAAATGTGACTTAAATTTGCTTCTGTTAGATTTGGTGTATCATCGACTGCTACTGCTGCAATCATTAATGGTCTACTGAAAGATAATATGAAAGCAGGGAAACTTGTTGAAGATAAAAAAAATCTTATATGTGATAGCATGAAAGTTTTTCGTACCAAAGAGCGTGCTATGAAGTATTCCAGAATAGAAGAAAACTTTGACTGTGAAAGAAATATAATCACTGGAATTTTTGTTGATGGTAGAAAAGACAAAACTTTAATTCTTATCCATGATAAAACCACAGGCACCTTCAGAAAAAAAATTATCAAAGAAAATCATATAATTGTGACAGAAGAACCTAGAGGTCGTTACCTTACTCATTATACACCAAAGCCTAAGTCAGAAACATCTAAACCAGCCAAACAATGTGCTATTGGATTATTCAACTGGTTAATGGAAAGAGGTAAAGATCTTAATCTCCGACTAATTGGCAGTGATACTACAAATGAAATGTCTGGATGGAAAGGTGGAATGATTCATTTTGTGGATGAACTTCTCTATCGAAAACTTTTTAGATTTTTTTGCTGGCTTCACATTAATGAGCTTCCATTCCGTCATATTGTTGAAAAACTTGATGGACCAACTTCTTCAGATAAAGGATGGTGTGGAGCAGTAGGTAAACTATTTTCCAAAGTTGATAATCTTGAAAGAATTACTCAATTTACTCCTATTTCGCTTCTGGAGCCTCTTGTTAATATCAGTGAAGATTTCTTAAAGCAAATGAGCACTGACAGTTTAGTTGCATGGAAGTACTTGAATGCAATTCTGAAAGGAAAGCTTGATCCTGAAGTAGAAGCTCTTAAATGTGGTAGATTGTCTCACAGTCGATGGCTTACTTGTGGCATGAGATGCTTGCTTCTCTATATGAGTAAGCATGATCTTGAACCTGTTAATGCAGAGATCTTACGACTGCTGGCAACTTGGGTGACTCAGGTTTATCTTCTGTTCTTTGAGATTAAAGTAAAGCATGACATTAAATACGGTTCTTGTCATCTTTTAAAGCTGTTTCGACTTTGGCAGAAGCAAGATGATAGGATTAAAGATGCACCTAAACTTTATCTCAGAAATGAATCTTGGTGGGCTCATCCTGAGAATATACTTGTCTCGCTTCTCTGTTCTGATAACTCAGAACAAAGGTTATTTGCAGTCGACACAATATTGGCCGTTAGGAAGGGAAGTGAGCTGGGCTTAAATGATGTTAGACCTTTTAAAGTTCCACAAACAATAAACCTTGATGCATGTGACATTAAAGAACTTATTGATTGGAAAAAAGAGGTTGTTACTGAACCAATTTTCACTACAAACATGTCATTAGTCCAACTCAATGCATTGATAGTTTCTCCCCAGCAGCTACCTCCATACTCATTACATACTCAAAGTTGCGAGAGAGCAATCAAATTAGTCACAGAAGCAGCTGAGTCAGTCTGTGGTTGGGATAAAAGAGATGGTTTTATAAGAACACAATTGCGAAATCGTGAACTAATGCCTTTGTTTAAGTCAAAAAAAGACTTTCAGTAGCTTATTTAATTACTAATTTGGTATTTTTTGATTTTATTTAAACTTTGTTGTGCATAACATTAAATGTTTGAAAAAATTCTTGTTTTTTATGTTGATCTTAAAAGAATGATAGGGGGCTGAAAAGAAAATTTGTAGCAAAAAAACAACAGCAAGATTTTTTATTTATTTTGAGTAAGTTATTTTGAGTAAGTTTGAGGGGAGGGGGCTTTCGCCCTACGCACCCTTCCCTTGCTCCTAATCCAGTGTGTGGGTATATATATATATATATATATATATATATATATATATATATATATATATATATATATATATATATATATATATATATATATATATATAATTATAATAATAATTGTAATATACCTTGATCTTATAATCATAATAAAACTATCAAATATTGAAAAAAAAAGGGGGGGGAGCCATAGCCCTTTTTAGGCACTCTGGATCTAGAATCCTGGAAGTTAAATAATAATTATATCTGTTTCATTTCACATGGTTTACTTTTTACCTAATATAAATGTAATTTTTAGTATTAATTGACAAAAACCTTTCCAAAATTAAGCCTTAGTTAAAATAGACTAATTTTTGAAAAAAAACCCTAATTTTAAAACCCGTTTCCTGGTAGCTAGACATCAATATTTTGTAAAAATATCATTATATTTGAATTCCCTATACCCAAATACATAGGAATTCAAGCGTGCTAGTCAAAATTCTTAAAATTTAATTTTTGGCTCTAGTATGATATACCCTAATAGCCATGTATGTTACACTTTTTTTTACCAATTTGAACATTTATAAAAAAAATGGCTGTACAAGTATAGAAAAAATATGTTTTTTTCCATACTTGTATCACATCTCCTTAGGATTGAATAGATAGTATAAATATATTATGAGTAGAAATATAATATTACATATAAAAAAGTATTCACTGAAAACTGGCAATTTGTACTTTTATACTAACAATTTGTGTTTCGTTAAACATATTTATGTATATTATATGTATAAGTATCTTTTCATGCAGTGACATTGATTATTTTCTGCTTATTGTTAAAAAAGGCATTAATTATAATTGTACAAGCTAACTTAAATCCCAGTCTTTGTGTAAATTGCAGGTAAAACACACTGTTGGAAAGAATTTTGATAAACAAAACTTGATACATCTTTAACATTAGCACCTTGTTTATATATTAAGTTTGAAAGATTATCTACAATTGCAAAACATTCACATGCAAAATGTGGATGACTGCTCTGGAGAACACTTCTGCAAGATTATAATAGATATGTTGTCCGGACCACAAGCTGTAGAAGAGTCTAAGCAGGAAATCACTTTAGATTCAGAAATAGGAGTGATACAAAGGTCAAGCAA